GCCTTTTGTTCTTCTCTTAGAAGCGAAGTGAATAGGTTTTTCGGTGTGACATGACCAGAGAGTTGAATTAGTGTTGAAGGAGGTCCTTCGTCTCCTCTGCGACGCCATTTTGGCGTAGTGCTGACCCGAAGAAGGCAATAAAGGTGATCGGATCAGCATCGATTGTGTTGAATCCGGATCCCCGCGCAGGACTTTTTTTTGAGCCTCGGTTAGCCGTTTCAATGATAGATTTTTCAGTAACGTTTGCTCGGTCTCCGGGCGTTGGGCAGTCTGTAGTACCCAGAACTTCAGATAAAAACGTCGGGTCAAAAAATAAACCCGTTCGACGAACGCCCTTTCACCTGCTGACATAACAATCTATACTGAGAAAATCAGTTAATTTAAAAGTTTATTCAAAAGCTGAACATGTTGTTTCTTTTGATTGGTCTGGAGCTCAGCCCTTCTTTTGTTAATGCCTGTCTTGCAGTGTAGCCAATCACAGTCCGGTATAGACGCACTTAACCGAGCCAATAGGCATAGTTGATGGCGATTGGGCGCGTGTTTGGTCGCTCACCTGCACTTTCTTCATCGCGGTAGGCGTGTGCGAGGTGCGTTGAAAACTGCCGTACAAATTGTAAGTTCATCCGCGTTCTTGATATAGTATCTGCCCTTTACTGCTGTTCCCTTATAACAATTTGGAATCGACCCGAATTAGAATCGAATCCGACATTTCGAAAAATCGAGCTGGAAAATTCGAATTTCATTTTTCAACTGGACAGCAGGTACTTTAGGAAGACTGTTAATGTTATTTATAATGTATTGTGGATATGAAAAGGGTTAGAGAGGTAAAAGCTAACTTGGTCTCCCATTTAAGATACACCAAGTCCCAAAATTCTGTCCTACGGGACCAGCGGTATTCGTCTAGCTTAATTTATTGTTTAGTAGGTTAACTTTGGTTTAGTTTAGCTAAGTTAAGTCGAGCTTAGTTTAGTTAGTTTACTATATAGTTGTTAGTTAAGCATATTTATCCAACTTTGGTGGTATCTAAATCAACTAAACTAAACTAAACTTGAACTAGAACCGAACTAATAAAACTAAAAGCAACCACAGGACTAGGGGTCCAGGGCTATCTAAGGTGAGCGACCCATTTAACTTTTACTGATAGAACTATCACTGTACAATGGTAGAAAAATAGACTTCTGTTTTTGTTGAATCAGTCGATTGCACTAGGGCTTATTCATCCGGATTTGTCCATGCATCTGAAAGCGCGTGTTCCATACAGCTCAGATATATGCGATTTAATGTGCATTTATAAGTTCTATTTTGTATAAAGTTTACTCTAATTAACTATCTAATTATTTGTTATACCGGTAGTCTCTCGGAAGCCAAATCGTGCCGTCGCCTGTAATGTATGTTAGTCTAACGTATTTACCAATTATTAAAGGATTCCTTGTGGCGGGTATGGGACTGCTGTAGAAGTAAGTTTGAAGATAGGCTTACACCGATCAGTTTCAGGGCACATTCGCCCTGGTGTTTGATGTTCTGTGTGTTTGCGCAACCTCTATCTCTCTCTCTGACCGGAGAGACGCGCGTTCGAAACTCGGGTGTAGCGGCAATTTCTGCTGCTACGATGGAGTAGGGTACCTGCAGCTGAAGACGGCAAATAAGCCAGAAAAGGCCCTCCTGGAGTCTCTGTCCTGCGATAAAATGTCTTAAAATAGAAGTACGTATTCGGTCGGATGATGAGCGAGCAAGCCAAGACGAGAAAATGTAATTATGCGGTTGCGTGATAACAAAGGAAGGCAAACGGTCTTCCTGATTACTAAGGTTTTCGTCTGTGGAGTGCAATGCGCTCAGGGTAAGTAACCCGTTAAAATATTGAGATAAAGTGAACCAGCCAAAAGACAAATGTCTGTGTCGTTTACTAAAGCTTTCCGTGCGGGAAATGCAATAGGCTTAGAGTAGGTAATCCGGCAAAACCATAGGAAACAATTACCAGTTGCATTCCGATAAGTCTAAATATGGAGAACTGTAATTGGAATAAAATAAAAAGGCATACCTGCGCCGAATAAAATGCATATAGTAGTTATTTAAATATATTTTACAGACATCCACTACAATTGAAACTATTAGCCCCATTTCTTGTTGCTTTACGATCAGTTTTTATGATGACTCCCAATGATAATCACTTGATTCAGAAAGCGTTGAGCTCCCCTGCCCTGCACCTAGCGCCAAATCCTCGGCGTGGCGTCTTCTTTTTATGGCCTCGTCCACTGCTCGAAGTTCCTTCTCTTCGTGTACTCTCTGATTCCCCCCTGTAACATCGTTAACAAAAGCAGTAGAATAAGAAACATTATAGGCAATAACGATAGAAATATTATGCAATATTAGGGGTTTGGCAAATTTCAATAATTCGGTTGACCCAATTGTGGAAATTTCGCGGCCTCGCTGGGAGTCGAAACCACACAGCGGGGAAGGCTTTTGCGCAGCCAGCGCTCTACCATTTGAACTTCGAGGTCAATTTGCTTGCCCAGCTTTACTGCACCTATGGAATCCACCACTAAGGACGCATTAAGTTGACTGCCCAGGCAGGATTCCCTGCGCAAAATCCTTCCCTGCTGTGTGGCCGCGAATTTTTCACAAGTGTGTCAATCATATTATGCAATCTGAGGCAGTGAGTCAGGCAGCTCTTGCGTATACCGTCGCCCGCCGTGCGCGTCAGATAATGGAGATTACGCGCGCTTGCAGGAATTGCAATGTGCTTAAATTGTACGAACCAATCAGATGTCAGATTGCGTCCTTGTGTTAACCAGTTACATTACAGCATTGCTGATCTCTAAAAATGGCTATGCACGTATATATCTATCGGACATCTAGTCGCTATTTGGGATACTACGATGTTATTATCAGTCCTTCCAGTATTTCATAACCTAGTCGGCGTCCCAAGCCCCGGTTCTTCTCGACTGCTTATTCGGCAGACCCGGCAGCTTGCTTACTATTTGTCAACTGATTTTGGTGAAAACCGTTATGCAATTCATCACCCAAGGGCGCACTTAGTAACTAACAGTTAGGCTATCGGATAAACCTGTCCGAGGCTGCGCGTAGGCTCTTTTAAACTTGCAAGTACAACGGTAAGGTATGATAACTTCTTCACCTAATTTTAATATCATCTGCGTGGTATTTGGCTAAAAGCTAGGACCGACGTCGTCTGCTAGGAGTTCTTTCGTTAGTATACGAGCATCGCCTCCTCTAATGCGTCTGTCGTGTCTTCTTTATACCTGTATGAAGAGAGTCAAATACCTAATTAAAATGGCCGATGGTTTGTCTGGATTCCGCGCCTATCTGACAAACCCAGTAGCGGCAAAGGAAGGCGTTGCATTTTCTGTCTTTTACTTACTTCTGCGCAGTGAATACCGCCTTTAGATCGGTATTCTTTGACAACATAAGAACGCTGAAGTACAGTTTTCCCAGTTTTAAGGGATTGGTCCAGCGGGGCTTTGTTTTAGAGGTTAGGTCTGGTTGAACATTTAGCGTCAAAGTTTGGACAAATTCTTTCTGCACTGCGACCCAGAGTTGTACGGAGGTTTTGGCAGTACTCTCTAACGGTATAACAGTCTGATATATCCTGGCTCACCTCTTGTCTAGATGTAAACTATTTTCACTAGAGGACGTATGGGATTTGGAAGAATTCTTTGCTGTATTTAGAAGACTTTTCTTACACTGTCATGGTTAAACGAGTAGGGCATCCAGAAAGGATAAAAGACATCGTGCAAGAACAACCCAGATTTTAGCCCCACGGACGTTGTTGTTAAAGTCTTTACAGTTGTCAGTCATGCCATATTATACATAAAGACCACTATTTCCAGCGCTTGAGGGATTTCGTACCTTGATCAATTGCTCGTTACTTGCCGTGCCCCATAAACGCGCCCCGTGGCAGATGCGCTGGACCACAGGGGCGGTTTCGGCCGCGCCAGCCACCTGTGCCCTCCGCCCCTTCCGGCCTCCTTGACTTTGTTTTGACATCGTGCTCAGGTGGAGGAGTGGGAAGAGAATGAGGTAGATAGGCCGCAAGCCTACTTTAACGGTAATCCAACGGCAGTGACCATCCTTGCACCACCCTGGCGTGGAGGATTCTGTGGGCATCGTCTAACTCGACGATCCAACTGTCATTGCTTCGGCAGTCATAAGCGTGCTTCGCTGTAGCAGCTTCGGTTGGCTATCCAACGTGATACTTTTTAAAAGGCCTTATCAGTGTCGACGGGACACCCCATGTCGACCACAGGTTAGGGACGGAGCCAGTCAATTACTAAAGCGTACTTCGCTCGTTTTATTTCAAAGGTGTCGACTCATCAAACCGATGCTCCGACCTGTTCCACATAAGCAAATGCAGAAATAGACTTACATAGTTGGAAACGGCTTTGTTTCTTCAAATTCAGATAAAGGAGCTGATGAGTCGGGAAAATAACTCACATTAAACTGAGGAACTGGGGATGCTCGATTCAAAGCCTTGGACGGCCGTCGTGTCAAATATTAACAACATGCCTCTTCTGTTGTACTTGTACTTCATACGGCTGTGATCATGCCTGATCCAGCTCGCCTCACTCATATAGTCTGGTCTCAGGAACGGCAGTCAAGCAGACAGAATTTTTCTTTCAAACAGTGTTTCCGATGGACTTGGCATCGTGTAATTATATCTCAAATATTGTTGGGTGAACATTTTTATGAACGCAACTTGCTTTGAATGATCATCGTAAGTGTAGGCTTGTTAGACCAGTCTTCCTGTCACTTAACGCGTATTTTCACGGACCTTAGGAGACCCTAACAGCCGCTAGGCAGTCAGTACTACGGGATATAGATTTGGATCCGGTCTTCTCCGTAGTAGTGTCCTCTGAACCATAGACCAAAGCTCTTTCCGCCAGAAAGTGATAAGTTTCCTTTTGATCCCAGCATTCCCTAATTTTCATTATCGTCTGCATGCCGTGTTATTGATTAATTCAGATTCCGCTTTTGTCTTTCAGCTCATGTTTAAGTCTGGCCAAAGCTTTAAATGCGGCGATATCATTGTGACTGACACCACCCTCGCACATGCCCTCTATGAATCCGAAACGGCCAATTACTGTGCCTACTGTTTAACCCCCTCAGACCACCTGTCGAGCTGCGCCCAGTGCAAACTTGTCTACTACTGCAATCGACAGTGTCAAAAGGCCGGCTGGAAATTCGGTCATCGCGGTGAATGTAAGGCAATCGCAGAGACTGGAATATTGCCGTCTGATCTACAACGCGTTCTCCTTGCCCTCATCACCACGGAGGTAGGTTTACTTCAATCCCCTCTCCTCACTCAATTCTGTGTGTGTAGAGGTACAAGGATGCTTCCATTTTTGACTCCTTCGTTTCGCGTAAGTATCACCTAACCACTTCCGCCCAAATCAGTAGATCGCGGCGAGAATCTCAGGGATCCTGAAACCAAGTCGCAGATAAACCATTCTTACGCCAGCCTGCTATTCATCACCCAGATGACTCTCCCGATTTCACGACGCGACTTTGAAGTACTGTTTTGCAAAGTTTGTTTTGCTTCCTTCCTCTGTCGAACTGTGTCTACTAGGTCAAAACAAACGCCTTCGCCTTCTGGGGCGAACACGGGAAGAGCATTGGTACGGCATTGTTTAGATGGTAGGATTCGTACAGTTTACTTGACCATTCATCCACCCTAGGGCTTCTAAATTTGACCATGCTTGTAAACCGAATGCGGAGTGCATCTTCGTTGGTCGGAGAATGAAAGTCGTGGCGTTGGAGGACATGGATGACTGGACTAAGGTAGTACAA